GTCAAGGCTTAGTTTAGTTAGTTGTCATTTTATTTTTAAGACATGTAATCGAAACCCATTTTGGCCATCGATATATTATGATTTCATTAGAATTATTTATGTGTTTAATTCATTAATTACCTGAATTCTGTTCATATGACTTGATCAATATTGGATTAGGGAATATTTGATTGGAGCTTAAATTTGTACGTATTTAAGCCAATTATAGAACTTTTGTCTATAATTTAGTATCACAAGTTATACTCCCAATTGAAAAATTAAGTGCACATCTAACTATAATAGTATTAGAGGTTTAAAAATAATACTTTCACTTTGAAACTTGATACACATAATAGAGATAATATATATGCCATATATTACTTTTTGAGCTAATCTTTCTTGGAGTGATATTAACATTTATTCAATAAAGATAATTTCATTCAGCGAATTCCATTGAATAATCTCATTATTTTTGTTTTGTTCAATGTTGGTTTGTTAAATGATTACTTATATAAATGAGTTATTTATACTTTTAGTGTGTTGTCAATAGCTCTTGAGATGTAATTTTAGGCTGTTGTTGCTTTAATTTGAGCCTTAACCTTATTCTTTTCATATTAGATTCATCCTTAGAAGCCGTGATTCAGCCTCTTTTTGAATAAATGTTGATTCTTAAAGTCATATATTGTAATCAAGCCAGAAAGATGAAATATTTTATCCTAACTTGGCTATCCTGGGATTGACTTAACAGCATATCATAAGGGAGTGAGTGTGGCTTTTGAAAAAAAAAATGATAAAAAGATGTGAAGTTCTCATGCTTATGCAATCAAAAGAAAATATCTATGCACTATCATGTTGAGTTTGCAGGAAAAAAACATTGTTGTTATATAAAAAAAAACAGCATGTATAGAAAGAAAAGAAATGATGAAGTATGAGATTGTGCTGAAAAAGTGTGCTTCTAGTTGATGAAAAAAAAATGAACAATAAGGTTTGGAAAAGTAATGTTCTCTTGGGATAGCGTTTTAAATTCTTGAATATCCGTCGTTTCAAAAACCCTAGTCCCAAGGCCCCATTATAACCATAGAAAATACTTATTTAATCTCGAGTAATTTGGTTGATGTATGACATGTGTGAATAAGGAGGAGGCGGTTATTTTACAACCTATGTTATTGATTTTCTTTCATAAGATTATGCGAAGTTTCTTCTTTGAAATAATGATTATNTTTTGATTCTTAAAGTCATATATTGTAATCAAGCCAGGAAGATGAAATATTTTATCCTAACTGGGCTATCCTGGGATTGACTTAACAGCATATCATAAGGGAGTGAGTGTGGCTTTTGAAAAAAAAAATGAAAAAAAGATGTGAAGTTCTCATGCTTATGCAATCAAAAGAAAATATCTATGCATTATCATGTTGAGTTTGCAGGAAAAAAACATTGTTGTTATATAAAAAAAAACAGCATGTATAGAAAGAAAAGAAATGATGAAGTATGAGATTGTGCTGAAAAAGTGTGCTTCTAGTTGATGAAAAAAAAATGAACAATAAGGTTTGGAAAAGTAATGTTCTCTTGGGATAGCGTTTTAAATTCTTGAATATCCGTCGTTTCAAAAACCCTAGTCCCAAGGCCCCATTATAACCATAGAAAATACTTATTTAATCTCGAGTAATTTGGTTGATGTATGACATGTGTGAATAAGGAGGAGGCGGTTATTTTACAACCTATGTTATTGATTTTCTTTCATAAGATTATGCGAAGTTTCTTCTTTGAAATAATGATTATTTGATATGAATGCACGTGAGTTACTTATTGCTTTGATTTTTACTAATTCTACTCACATGCGGTACTATAAGTGTGAATAGTCACTATAATCAGAGTGGATTTTTTGCTTGAGTGTATATCTTGGTGAGGATTGCATTAAAGCTAGCCNTAATTTTTACTAATTCTACTCACATGCAGTACTATAAGTGTGAATAGTCACTATAATTAGAGTGGATTTTTTGCTTGAGTGTATATCTTGGTGAGGATTGCATTAAAGCTAGCCGTTGATAATTAGAGGGGTGAGGTATTGTTGACTAAATTTTTATTGTGCATAGTTATTTCACGTCACACACGAGTTTCAATGGGATCCAATATGTGAATACTATTGTTTAGCTTTTAGTTCTATAATGTGGCTTGGTATAGACTTATTTTGTGTTACAATTAAATATTGTCATGATTTAAGTTTGGTTAAAGTTATATATCTAATTCAAGTTACTAATAAGTTAAANATTTTTATCGTGCATAGTTATTTCACGTCACACACGAGTTTCAATGGGATCCAATATGTGAATACTATTGTATGGCTTTTAGTTCTATAATGTGGCTTGGTATAGACTTATTTTGTGTTACAATTAAATATTGGCATGATTTAAGTTTGGTTAAAGTTATATATCTAATTCAAGTTACTAATAAGTTAAATGAAGTTTGTAGGTATCTTCACTAAAACTTTCACAAGACTATAACTCGTCTATTAGGGATAACCTAAGGGTTTAAAGACCTGTTGCATATGTTAAATACAATCGTGAGTCTAACGAAAGTGGATTTGTGTTTTATATTAGGGTTTTTTGTTTAGTCTCTAAGTTTTAAGGACCTATGTATTACTAGAGACTTGTAATACTCTGGTTGAGGAGTATCATTAACCATCAAAAGTAACAATTTATTATATTTAATGATGAGTTAATTACATAGTATTTGAGCTTATGTGTANTGTTTGTTTAGTCTCTAAGTTTTAAGGACCTATGTATTACTAGAGACTTGTAATACTCTGGTTGAGGAGTATAATTAACCATCAAAAGTAACAATTTATTATATTTAATGATGAGTTAATTACATAGTATTTGAGCTTATGTGTATATTATTGGATTTTCTATTTTTATTCTTGTTTTGGTGCTCTGTTTTATTTTGCAGATAAGTTGATGGAATTAGGAGCATTGTTGGACAAGTGAAGTTTTGGAGCAATATGGATGCATGGATCTGTCCTAACCCAGAGGAGCACGCAGAACAAGACAAACCCGTCAAGTGCAAGATAAATAGCACCATCTGGACACAAGTCTGCCATCCGGACACAATCATGAGGAACTGAATAAGTCTGNAGCATTGTTGGACAAGTGAAGTTTTGGAGCAATATGGATGCATGGATCTGTCCTAACCCAGAGGAGCACGTAGAACAAGACAAACCCGTCAAGTGCAAGATAAATAGCGCCATCTGGACACAAGTCTGCCATCCGGACACAATCATGAGGAACTGAATAAGTCTGACTATGCGGCTTCAAGTACCCCGGTCACAACTATTCCATCCAGATGCACATGCTCAAGTCTAAAATTACAGAGAGTTGTAGATGTTCAATACGCCATTTTTTCGTTAGGATGCAAGCCAACGACACAAGAATACAATCTAGACATGGGTATCCATAATTTTCCAGAGACTTGTAACTAGCAGGACGCGGCCAAGCCATCCAGACGCACCGATTAGGTGGGTAGTTAACCTAAAAAAGGGTTCCTTTTTGAACGAGAACTTCTCTTAGACTTATGTCAAGGCTAGTACTATGAATAATACCTCCCACATCTGAAGAAGAATCTCTTCCTTAGCTTCTGTTCTTTTATTTTTCAGATTTTTAGGATCTACAATGTCTTGTGAGTAGATTCTCTTGTACTCTTTAGCTTNCGGACGCACCGATTAGGTGGGTAGTTAACCTAAAAAAGGGTTCCTTTTTGAACAAGAACTTCTCTTAGACTTATGTCAAGGCTAGTACTATGAATAATACCTCCCACATCTGAAGAAGAATCTCTTCCTTAGCTTCTGTTCTTTTATTTTTCAGATTTTTAGGATCTACANTGATACACAAATTGCAATGTAACCATTATGAAACCGTGTCCTTACTTTTAATTTAATTTGAAAAGTTTTCTGCTTAAACAGATTAAAAGTGCAAGATATACTGTGAAGTAAAGCCATCAACAAAAAAGGATAAGTTCCATCTATAACATCCAATATAATGTAGGAGCATGCAAAAGTGCATTGATAAACTATGCTGATGCACTAATCATGTCATATTTGAAGTAACCCCATCTTCATGTTGTTATATTTGTTTCAGTTCACTATTATAGATTTTTTCCAATAAGTAAAATCTTTAAAACCACTCCACATACAAACCAGGTGGACTCGGCTCCAGTACATCATCTCCTCAATTTTCTCAATGGAGCAATAAATGTGCAGCACATCGTACATGTGTTTCCAACAGCAAAGGTTGCATACATAATCTACATCAAACTAAGAGCGTGGTACAGTAACAGTGAGGACAACGGAGATCTAGGAGGGAATATTCCAGCAACTTTAACTTGTTTGTATAAGTGCCATTACAGGAAACATTTTCACCATCATCTCAGTGCGGTTCTGGTTGTTCATTTATACCATATTGAGGATACAGAATTTAAAACAAAATTCACAAGTTACAGATTACATTCTCTCTCTCTCTCTCTCTCTCTCTCTCTCTCTCTCTCTCTCTCTCTCTCTCTCTCTCTCACACACACACACACGGGGATACGGGAAATAGGTAGACATTCACTATGAGTAGTAAATAATTTATTTCTCCTGAAAAGAAATAATTCTCTTAAGACAATTATGAAATTGAAAATTGAACGAAAAACTTTCTCGGTCGAGTTCTTGATAATTAGTGGATTCAGATTACCGATTGGAACAGATTCGGTTCATTTTCCAGTGTGTTTAATCAAGCACGTAGCCATTGATGATGTTGTGTATTGGAAACAGAAAGAAGAGTTCCTTAAAAAGTACAGAGATGCAGGTTTTTTTGTGTGGGTGGAAATGGAGTCAAGTAGATATGTTATCTTTNCAGATTGGAACAGATTTGGTTCATTTTCCAGTGTGTTTAATCAAGCACGTAGCCATTGATGATGTTGTGTATTGGAAACAGAAAAAAGAGTTCCTTAAAAAGTACGGAGATGCAGGTTTTTTTGTGTGGGTGGAAATGGAGTCAAGTAGATATGTTATCTTTTTGAGGGTTACCAAGTTGATGAATAATGGAAGAAGGATGGGATTAATTATACCTAAAGGCTCTGATGAAAGGGGGTGGATTGAGTTTGGAAGCTTATTGGAGTTTTCAATGGAGAAGGGTAGAACAAGAGAAGGTGAGACAAACAAGGTATGAAGCTTGAAGAATGGCAACGAAGGTGGGAAGAAACAACAGCAGCATTCTTTGCATGCTTTGGGTGATGAGGCTATGATTCGTGAAGAAGATAAATGGAAGAAAGCAGTAGTGTGTTGTAGCAGAGCTTGTTTCACCTGTGGAATGTGATTAGCAGAGAAGTGACAACAACCTTGCAGTTTGAAGTTGAATTAAATCCGTTCCAAAACTGAAAAAGCAATATTTTTCTGTGAATCCTTCTCAAATGCCAAGGAGATATGTAAAAATGAGACTTGTACCCTTCAGAATTCTGTGAGCCTGAAATTGCAGAAATGGAGACCAAAATCCAATTCGTTTAGAAGCAAAGTCTCATTCTTGGGGTGGATGGATTGCACTAGAAGGTCTTCCATTTCACCGATGGCATATGGAAGTGTTCAACAAGATTGGGGATTGTTGTGGAGGTTTTGTCGAGGTTGACCACAACACGATGAATCAACGAAATCTATTTCAGGCAAGAGCTCGTGTCAATCATCCATTTAATGGGTTTCTGAAAACCTTATTGGATATTAGTCACAAGCAGAAAACCTATTCTATAAAGATTAGGACTTTTTGAGGATGGATAGATACAAAATGGGGAGTGGAATAGGTTTGCTAGAGGCTATGAAACACGGACACTCTCAAGAAGGTAACGTATCCGTGTCGGACACCGACACTCTCAGACACGTGTCTAACCCTCTTTTATTCTCGTCTATAAATAAATTATAAAATTCAGGCACGTATCCATCACTTCGTTGGTGACGTGTCTGATACTTCTATAGACCGTGTCTACTACTAAACAATAAACATGTGGTTAATAAAGCTTACAAGTTTGACAACTAAATATCTTATACTACAAAAGAATATATAATTACCAAGACTAGACATGTTAAAGTTATATTCAAAATATAATAATAAAAACAAAAGATACATAAAAGATTTAGAAAAGAGCAATTGAGAAAATGAGAGCAATGAACAATCATTTAAATTATATATGTTTGGTACATGTCTACCAAAAAAATTGATGGTTATTGACTATTACAATGTTAGTTTTAAAATTCACACTAGATGTCTAGATATAACATTTACTTATCATAAAGAATAACATATCATTATCACTATATTGCGATAATTATATAATTCTATACATAAAACACAATTATCTATTGCGTGTTCCCAACGTGTTCTTGTTCTATTTTTTTTTCAAATGTCGTGTCTGCGTCAGGTCGTATATGTGTCACGTGTCCATACTTCTTAAGCTAGAGGTGGAAGTACGAAGTTTTCATACTGCGAGCACGAGATTGAAGATAAAGGAATGGGGTTTTTTTTTTTTTTTGGGTGGGGGGGAGAAACACACCTAATCACATTGTTAAAAAATAAGAGCCAGTTACTCTGCCCCTTAAAGAGGCAGTTAAAATCCATAATTCTCTACAGTCCCAAGATTATGGGAATAATGGAAGGGATGTGAATTTTAGCAATGGCTTTAATTTGGGTAAGGAAGCAATTAAAGGATTTAATGATGTACAATTGGATGATAGAAATGGGATTAAATTGTTGGGCTAGAAGCCAGCTGTTTATAAAAATAAGGCCCAATATCTAGAGAAAGAGAAGTCCACTCGAAAAAGGCCTCTTGTTGAGCCTTATGTAAATGGGCTTGGTCTGGAACTTGGTAATGAGGTTATTGGGCAGAAAAGTGGGGTTTTGAACCCAAAATTGAAACAATTTTTAAAAGAATGGATTTTACCCAAACCCTAAATCAGAAGTTCGGTTTGACTTATAAAGGATAGAATTTGTCACCAGATGCTAGGGGAAACCGAAGAGCCACTGAACAACCAAACGAGAAGAAGAATAAGCTTTCTTGGGATCACAGGAGATGTTACGAAGGAGCTAGGAAGGTAAATCAAATAGTTGTGTTGAAGAAAGAAGATGATGGATTAAGCCCACTAAGACATTGGTGGTTTACATGTGGGAGTGGAAGGTATGCGTGATGACTTCAATTTTGAAGATGTTCATTCAGATGAGGGGGACATAGGCGTATGACGGGGGAGTTGGATGAAGGATTGTTTGATATCAATGAAGTTGCTGGGAATGCTTCAGGGAGTACTGGCAGGTAAAGGAGTTCGATGGAGGCCTCTGATCGAAGTGAGTATGGGGCAGAGCCAAGCNATGGGGGAGTTGGATGAAGGATTGTTTGATATCAATGAAGTTGCTGGGAATGCTTCAGGGAGTACTGGCTGGTAAAGGAGTTCGATGGAGGCCTCTGATCGAAGTGAGTATGGGGCAGAGCCAAGCTTTGAGGAGTTATGTTGTTTTATGGGAAGGTTATTTCAAAGTGAAGAAATGAAAAGCAATGGCGAACCAGAAAAGGCAATTGTGATTCCCAAAAGAAAAGAGGTCTATGATTCTGGGGCGTCTTCGACGTAAGTAATGATCCAGATTTTGTACCTTACGCAAATATTTACACTTTTGATGAGCACAATAAGTCCTTTGTGTCTTTAATGGTGGACGACTGTGGGGGAGTCTTTACTCTTGCTTGTTCAGGTCATCTTGGGTTATCTGGGATGGGCAAAGGGATGCAGGCTGGGGAGAAGGGCGAGGTAGGTCAAACTAATGGTCAGGAATTGGCAGGGGTGGGTAATGTTTTTTCTGGTTTTGAGTCGGGGTTAGGGATGGAAATGGTGGGTGGGATGTTTGGGCCTGGGGGGAGAAGTTGGTTATCAATGGGAACTGGGGGTCTATGGGAATCGAAAAACAACAAAGTTCAAGTCTGTTAGTGAACTAGGAGTTAAGTCTTTGTGAGCCAAATTGGTTTAAAAATAATGAAGATGCTACAGTTAATTTTGCTTCAGGAAATCCCAAGGTTGTTACTGCAAGGCATATTATGTTCTATGAGGAAGAAGGGAATGAAGAGTTAGGTAGGAAGGAAGAAAGTAGCGGAGTAGTGATGTGGAGAATAGATGTTTTGTGTCAGATGAAGAAAAATAGGAAATTCTTAAAACCTTCCATAGAAAGATGGATTAATCTTTAGTTCCAACAAAAAAGTATGAGCAAGGGGAATAGAAGAAGTGCAAAAAATAGGAAAGGTAGCAGGGAAATGAGAAAATTACTATTTGGTATAAACTATGATTATACGAAAGGTGATGAGGGTGCCCTGGTTCCATATGAAGGTAGTTCATTGAAATGTTTAGGATTTAGGATCTATTAAAAAAAGGAGCTTTAGAAAAGAGTTTATCTTGAAAGTGGGTCCAGATATTGTCATTTTGCAAAAATCTAAGATGGAGGTTGTTGATAGGAAAATTATTAAGAGCATGTGGAGGTCTAGGTATAGGAATTGGGTTTTCTTACAATAGTGGAGAGGTCAGGAATTATTGTCATTATGTGGGATGAAAGGTCAGTTTTAGTGGAGGAAACAATAGAAGGTAAATTTAGTTTGTCAATTAAAGTTAAACATAAGGATGGACTTGAGTGGTGGTTAACCGGGGTGTACGGGCCTAATAAGTCTAGGTTGAGAATGGCTTTGTGAGAAGAGTTTGCAAAGTTGTTTGGAATGTGTAGCTCGAAATGGTGTATTGGAAGGGATTTTAATGTAATTAGGTATTCTTGGCAAAGACTTATTGGAGGTAGAGTCACAAAAAGTATGAGAGATTTTGATGCCTTTATTAGGGAAACTGAGCTTCATGTCCACCGTTAGCTAATGATGACTTTACTCGGTCTAATTTTAGGGACGTTGTAGTGTGTGAAAGACGATAAAATTTTGTTCACAGTGGGTTGGGGAGGAGTATTTTTCGGGATATAGACAAGAGGTTTTGTGTGGTTTGAGTCCCTTTACATTTGAGAATACGTGACTTGAGCATCGTACTTTTAGGGAAAAGTTTAAGGATTGGTGGGAAGAGGGATGTTTCAATGGTTGGGAGAGATATAAGTTCATGAAAAAACTAGATTTAATCAAGAAAAATCAAGGTGTGAAATAAGGAGGTTTTGGTTGAATACTAGTGTTAGTAAGAGTTGTATTTTAGAAAGGAATGTAGATATTCATAAGATTAAGGCGAGAGGGGGTAAAACAGAGATAAGATCTTAGAAATAAGTTTGTAAAGGTTGTCTTTAGGGAGGAAATTAATTGGAGGCACACATCAAGGGTAAAGTGGGTAAAGGAAGGGGACAATAATTTTAAGTTCTTTCATAAAATAACAAATAGAAATAAAGAAGGAAGTTATAAATAAATTGGAAGTAAAGGGTGAAGTCCTTGTAAAGGAATAGGATCAAATTGAGCAAAAGGTTCTGACTTGCGAGTTTTTTTTCTAATCTATAATTCGACATCTAAAGGTTGTAGGTCTAGAATGGTGCCCCATTGAGGAGACGATATGAAGGTGGATTGTGAAACCTTTTGAGGAGGAAGCAATGTTATTTTTGAGTGTAGTCGAGAGAAAGCACCTAGATCGGATGGTTTTACTATAGCTATTTTTTAGGAGTATTGGGAGGTTGTGACACTTGATTTAATAAAAGTGCTTTTAGAATTTTTCAAAGTGATGTGGTTAATGATTTAAATAACTCCATTTTTATTTGTGTCATCTCGAAGAAGGAGAATTCTATTACGATCTAGGATTTCACGCAGATTAGTCTTGTCAAGAGCCTTCACAAGATTATTGCAAAAATTTTGTCAATTCAGTTGAAGGAGAGTTTAAGTGATACTATCTAAGGGTTTCAAGGGGCAATTGTTAAGGGAAGACAAAACATGAATGTAGCTCGGTGGCTAATGAGGTGGTTGAAGACTATAGAATTAGAGGAAAGGAAGGAATTGTCTTCAAGATTGATTTGAAAACTCTATGATCATATGGATTGGCGTTTCTTTGATTTTGGAGAAGATAGGGTATGGGCAAAAAGATGGAGAAAATGGATTACTGGGTGTTTAAAGTCTGAATTTTTCAGTAATTCTNTATGATCATATGGATTGGCGTTTCTTTGATTTTGGAGAAGAGAGGGTATGGGCAAAGATGGAGAAAATGGATTACTGGGTGTTTAAAGTCTGAATTTTTCAGTAATTCTAAATGGAAAACCAAGGAAAAGGTTTAAGGCATCTATGGGACTAAGACAAGGGCAAAACGATGTTATATGCTGGAAGGTTTTATTGTTGGTAAGGATAGGGTGTCAATGTAAAATTTACAATTTGCAGATGATATCATTTTCTTTTCCACGGGAGCTGGAGAGGAATTTTTGAATCTTAAAAAGATTGTGGATGTCTTTGGAGTGGTGTCAGAACTTCAAGTGAATATGGAGAAGAGTGCAATTGTAGGAATTAATGTTAGTTAAGAGAAAATTTCTCGTCTGGCTGGGACTTTGGAATGTTCTATGGGAGAGTGACCACCAAGTATTTAGGGCTTCTTTTAGGTGGTAATTCTTTATCTATGGGGCTTTGGGACCAAGTAGTTGATGAGATAGGTAAGAGAACGGATGGATGGAAGAAATCCTTTATTTCTAGAGGGGGTAGAGATACATTAGTTTAGTCGATTTTGGCTAGTATTCAAATCTATTTTTTGTCCCTATCAAAATGTCGAGAGTGGTTATAAGAAAGATTGAAGGAATGACGAGATATATTTATAGGGGGGTGGTGGAAAAAGTAGAAAAGATCAACTGATTAAGTGGAATGTAGTATCGAGGCCTAGAGTTAAAGGTGCACTTGTTGTGGCTAATTTGAAGGCTACAATATAGCTCTGGTTGGGAAATGGCTTTGGAGATCTCCACTAGAGCAAAATTTATTGTGGCATTTGGTTATTAGAAGCAAGTACGCGTTATAAGCCAATGAATATCCTGCTAAGGGGTTGAAAGAGGTAATTTCCAAAACCAATGGAAATTCATTTCTCAAGGACTACCTTTTTTTCCTCAATGGGTTAAATTTGTAGTGGGCAATGGGAAAAGGGTGATGTTTTGGGAGGACTCATGGATTGGGGATTTATCTTTAGCTTGTTCATTTCATCGGCTTTATAGTGTTTCATGTTATCACCATGTGGGTATAGCTTCAATGATTAGGTCTTATTCTTTCCAGGTGTCCTAGGATTTTGGTTTTCATAGGAGTCTCAATGATACGAAATCATTAAAATTGGTTTCACTTCTGTAATGTAACCCTTAATAAAGAGTCATTAGATAGAAGTTGGGTCATTGATTCAATAGGCTTGTTTTCATGCAAATCTTATTTTGATTCTTTGATTGATAATATGACTCCCAAATTTTAATCCACCATTGAAGATTTGAAAAGCTAAGGTGTCTTTGAAGTGCAACTTTGTGCATGGGTGATTGCTCATGGGAAGATAAATACCACTAAGATTCGAAAAAGATGAACTTAACTTTGTATCAAGGTTTTTAAAATCGGGATCCTATCTTGGATCGATGGGTGAGGTTTTAGGATTCTATCAACTGAAAAAATACGACAAATAACATATATAGAAAATTCTCAAAAACAAGAATTAAACAAGCCTAGTAATACATATGCAAATCGAAATATTAAGACAAACAGAGAACTTAAGATATGATTAAAATTTGAAATTACAATTTGGGTATTGAAGAGAATTTAAAATCAAAGATGAACAGCTAATCTATTGGGATTTTGCAAAGGGGATAAAAGAATTGAGATATTTTGATCTTAACTTTCAGAGAACGATATACAGAGGAGAGAGTGGAAAGTAGAATAAAAATAAAAGATTATCTGGTTATAATCACTTGTCGAGAGAGAAGATCAAATCAAACCGTTGTTTTCAACTTTTAACAAGATAGACGAATAAATAAAGAGACCTTTTTGTACACGAAACAAACTTTCTGTAGTTTTTTGAATCCATTGAAATTCAATAATAGACTCACAATTGTACAAGAAATTCACATTTGGATTGAGTCTTTACCTATTATAACAAAAAATATAGATTGGATTGCTCAATAATTAAATGCACCTAACAACCAAACTCAACAACTTAGATTAGACCAACGAAGGTTGGCTTGAGTGAAAGGGGCTATGGTCGCTTAAGCAAGTGGTCTCGGTTTCGAGTCCTTGTGGATGCAGCACACCTTCTTGGGAGTGGTCCCCGGCACCCAATTGTACCTCGGAGGATTAGTCTTGGGCGAAGCCTGGGGATACCTTGGGAGACCAAAAAAAAAACAACTTAGATTAGTAAAATTGTAGTTCAGATAGGGATCCCATGAGATCCAGATCCCAATCCATTAAGATCATACGAATTTAGAATTTTAAAAGAAACTCGAATCGATTTGCTTATATCAAATCGTATGATCCTAAGATCTGGATGGGGATTTTGATAACCATGCATTGTATATGCCCAAAATGGTGTATGATGTGTAAGAATGATTGCGAGAATGCCAACCACTTATTTATTGCGTCGCCCAATTGCTTTGAAGCTATGGAATAAGTTGTTTGAGTTGGCGAGATTTCTTGGGCGGCTCCAAGTTCTATAACAACAATGTTTTGTGTGGATTACAATGGTTTTGGAAGGAGAAGTAAAGAAGTTATTCTTTGGGAATGTGCAATTTTTGCTAGTATATCGGTGATTTCATTGGAGAGAAATGCAAGAATACAAAGTACAAGATAGCTGATGTATTGTGAAACCGAATATACTTTCTAGCAACTTTTTGGGCATCAATTTCAAAGGAATTTGTAACTACACCTATTTTCGGAATTTTGGGGAGTTGGCATGCGAGTTGTGAATGATTAGTTATATTATTTTTTGTTTATTTCTTTTCTTAGTTTTAGTAGTGTTTTTTGTTGGTTTGGGTTATA